TCAAGCAGCCAGTTGAGGAGATTTAATTCCTGTTCCTTGTTTTCCCTTTTTTTTTAAACCCCCGTTCCTTTTTTTTTTTTTCCCTTATTTTCCTTCCCGTTCTAATTTTCTGCTTGTCTGGACGCGTAGCCAATGATCGGTTTGTTTGGCGGCCAACAATACCGGAACAAATGCAGGCACAGGTACATAAACGAGTCACCCTGACAGGTTCACAATCACTTCTTCTCAGCAATTAGTGTATAAAATGAAAATTATATTATGATAACGGCGCACAACAATGGTAATGCCTCATAATGAAGAATACAATGAATGCAACAGAATAGACACGAGGTCCAGATCTCGGATGTTGCAGTAGCCGGTGCCGGGTGGAGCAGCAACTTAAAAATTCTCGATGCGAATTGGAGACTCCAAACATGAGTAATACACTGCATTACGAGTATCCGCAGGTTATTAATAGTAGGGGCGACCACATTTAATATCATCCAGAAAGTAGTGCCCAGACTTGTTATGCACCTTAGGAATCAGATAGATAGTATCAAGAATTCTAGACAAACAAAGAGAGTGTGTGATGAGATACCACTTCCTACATGTTTGATCGATACTACCATAGGCATACACTACACACACTAATCATTTGACCACTCAGGCACAACCCTGACCAGAACAAACCATCCCTCCTCCTCCCCCCGTACTTCCGCGGGTTTCCCTCTGGCACATACAGAAAACCGCGTTAGTCGGAAGTTAAAATCCAGCCCAAGACCAGCAGGAGACATCCGAGAAACCCATAACAAACCGGCGGGCTCCACTCTTTTCGATCGGAGGAGATCGGACAAATTTTCCCTCCTGGATGGTTTTGGAGGTTCTCCTTGCGCGGTCAAAAATATGATGTATCTCTCTCTCCCTTCCAATTCAACCGAACACCGAGAACACCACTTCGGTTACGTGTACTCAATAATTGTGCATCGTCAGATTGACTACCAACATAGCCAGAGATATATTAAGTTATTAAAATCTGTCAATTGCCCGACTCCACGGCAATCAAACTTGCACCTCCACGTACGTCATGTTAAGAAAGTCTTCAGGGCTGACACTTTTGCCGGCTCGTTTCCCAACAAGCAGGCACGCCCGTCCGTCGGGGAGAAACTAAAATCGAGCCAAGACGGTTTGATCCACCGCCATTACGATTGACCGCAACGGTTTGAGCACGTCATTCCAGATTGTCCGTTCCGCTTTGTACGACCCTCCTGAGGGATGGATAACGGTTCTCATTAATGTTTTGAATCAAGTATTGTTTGTCGATTTAGAGAAACAGTCAACTATTAAGTGTCGTTGAAATTCGGTTTCATATCATCCTCTACTCTTCAATCATGTTTCACTCTCATACCATGGTTTTTCCACACACTCAAATTTTCTTCCACTAGTGTGTGTGGTAAGCAAGTAACTAACAACGCCCCAACAGCCACTCAGCCAGCCAACCCGCCAAACAAACAGCAAAAGCACGCACAGGATGCTATGCTGCCTGCATCTACCTGCACTGCGCCTTGACTGCTACCTTTCGTGCAGCGATCGCCCATACTTGAAGTATACAGGGATGAGAAACGAACAACTCATTCTTGGCTCCCCGTGACTTTTTCCTTTTTCCCCTCCCTCCCTCTGTCCCTCTGTGTGATTGTGTATGTGTGTGTGCCGTTGGCTTACATACTTTCTCCTGCGGAGTTTATGCACACGAGTCAGGCCAGTCTCATATGTACATGCCTCCCCTGTGGTGATTGTTGCAGTTGCACAGAGTTACATCGGGAGGGTGTTGTGGCCTACTCAACTTGACCGCAACATGGCCGCCAGGTTACGTCCGAATCGGTCTCCCTGCATGTGTCTCTAGCCATGTAGTAACTAATTAATAGGCGTTTTGCTATTAACTAGATAGATAGTCTCCATAGACCCCATCCAGATCGGGCGCTCAAATCCGCACGCTAGGACCAATATGGAGTTTTTCGTTTTCATTTGTACTATGATAATAATGTAGTTTATATTTCCGGAACTGAGAAGAAATATCGCTACAAATGGTGTTCCTTCAAATCTAGTCCGTCGCTTATTTACTAACTACTTACTTATTAGTTAATTAGTTAGTAAAAAACGGTGTTTTTATCTCCGCTTACTAAACCTCCGAGGAGAGAAAAATTTTACGAGAACGTCGGATATATCTCTGTTTGAAGCCACAAGCACGGAACAGGATTGTTTTAGGATGGTGACGGCTGTCATATCCGCTTTCCACTGGGCTAGGACCAATCGTTTGGTTAGCTGGGATGCTCTCTTCTAATGCCATATCTACTTCTAGAAAGGAAGGAAAGGGATTCAATCATACGGAGTCCGGAGTAATTAGATCCCAGCCATCAGTGACAATATATTAAATCACCCAAAATCTGGACATCAATATCGAGTGTATACACTTAAGCGACGAGTACATAGTACACATCTCAAGTCCCAAAACTCAGTCGGCACATAGATACACATCTAGAAGTGGATACGGGATGGATTCCCAGTCCTCAGGTGGGCCAAACTAGCCTGGAAACTGACTAGCTAGACTTAGCTAGCAAGCATCTTGACCAAGCACAATTCTTCACCACAAGAAACCAGCAGCAGCATCGACACCAACACAACTACGTACCTCGTACTCCTTATACGAAGATACGCATAGAAGAAAGCCTATATAGTAAACTAAGTATCGACCAAAACCACGGGAACCCGCAACGCCCATCAAACTCTATCTAGACTCATACTGAAACACGACACTCAACAGCGGCAACTTCTTAATAACTAGTACCTACGGAGTAATTAGTTAAGTAAGTAGTTAGTTAGCATAACCCACCCACTATGGAGTCATGGACAGGTAGATAGGTGATTTAATTTACGTTCTATCGGAACGAGCCGATCGGTCTGCACCCGGTCCACCGTTAGTTGATCCAGTCCAATGCACGCCAAGGTATAGGTCAACCAAACAGAGAGCGGGTTTGCGTGTTGGTTGAGGTCTGGACACACAAGTCTTTGGGATCGGATATTCCGGCTTCGCCTGGATGAGGGAATATAAAGAAAGGGCGTGTGAGTGTAAAAAGTGTGGATAAAGTGGACTTCAGTTGGGATATTGTTCGGACGCGTCGGAGATTCGAGCCCGGTGATAAGTTACTTGGCCCGGCATACCGGGATGAAAAGTTCCGTGCGTATGAATGGTTCGGATGTGATTGGTTGGGTGCTCGGAGATTTGATCGTGTTGGAGGTACTATTAGTACTGCTACTTAGTACGTATATAGTGCGATTTATGTGTTGGGTATTAGGCTTTATGGTCGAGACCAGGTTACTGCGGTGTATGTTTTTGAGATACAAAAGAGCTGGTGAATGACTAAGTAGCGAACAGAACACTAAACATGGTAGTACGTACTCCATAGTAGGCTACTAATAGCCGAGGAAGATTGGTTTGAAACTGAATCATTTTATTAATGCCCAGATATTGGCTTCACTGTCTCAACAGATAGAAAACATGTTCATTGGCTCGGGAGCAATATCCGATACCTCGACTCTGAAAACTCGGTTCGCATGAGAAGGCAGAAGAAGCCGAGGAGTCTGGATCCAGCAGCTGCAGCTATGAAGCAACGGATTAAGTTCCCTGCTACTAACACCTCTGTCTTCCCCCTCTTAGCAAGCAGGTCCTCTGTCTTCTCTTAGGACTGCTGGTCAAGGGAAATGGATATTTTCTTCGACATTTTCAACCGGGAGTTATAACTCTGGTCCAATCGTAATCTCTCTATATACGAAACATCGGGAACGTACGTACGTAGTACTAGTCAGTGCCCCATTCGATATTATTGGCTTGCTGTTCTACTACTGAATAGTAGTATATTTAGCCCAGAAACTTGTCTTCAAGACGTAGTTTAGACGGCTTCTGGGCTTCTTTAGCTGCCCAGCAATGGGAGACACGTAGGGAACAGTACACCAAATCCAAGGATGTGTGGGCGTAAGTCTATGTTGGTTCATTAGTGTTGGTAGTAGTAACCTGATATGAACGACTTTGACGGATTGTTGAAAGAGCAGGACGAAAGATATGAGAATCTAGGAGAAATTATATATGACGGAGCAAGCCTTGACTACTTCTGTAGTAGAACACTCTCATCAGGCCAGCAGTAAGCCACTCTGCCCTCACTCTTGAGTAGTACGAATAGGCTTGACTGAGAATTGTCATACCCGGAAAGATATCCGAATAGCATATATTTCCCACTATGATCAGAATTACCATAGTCTATTGTGTGAGCAAAAAGAGCCATGATTCTGTGCATAAGCCCTCAGCTCGTATTTGACCTCGTGATATTATGTATCTAGTTATCCAGGGCTTGAGAGCATAAGTGGTAGCATATCTTCTACGAAGGCCTCGCTTATAGCTCTCTCCACACTGACCACTTGGCAGCAATAACATCAGTGATGGACCCGAACTGCTGTACTATACAAGGATATCCCATAGCCACAGCTACCATCTTGGCGGTCAGTAGTGGCTGAAGTGACTAAGTATCAAGTTTAGTGGGAAATGCATCCAGAGAGGCCAATCTAGCCATATACTTTCACCGTTAACGACATGTTAGATATTCCGTAGACTGGGACTACATAGCTGATCTATAGCAGTGATTGATAAGACTTCATACTGTGGGAAGGATTACTCACACAGGAAGTCAATCAGGCAATCGATTGCCGGGGTTAACTAGGAGGGTTTCACGAGGGCCAGAATGTCGATCTCCCCTTGCTGATGGCCGGCACTCATGCAGGTAGATCCCAAGTACTACCCTCATCTTACTGGCTAACTGTTGCTTATCATCTATACAAACGGGCAATTGTTTCAGGTTGCTGCAATCCTTTGTTATATTCTCTTATCACTGAACCTCTGCTATCGCTACATGGTCAACGGTCGGGCCCGCACTGCGAGCCCCGTCATTATGCTTTCAAAACACTCAATCAAGAAACCCAATGCAAGTCAATAAAAGAGTATTAAAAGGAAAGGAGGAATAGTTATGTTCTAACACACTATTTTGTTTTCGTGTGGTGTTGTAGAGATCAAAATGTTTTGTAAGCACCATTATGATAGCCCCGGTCGCGGGAATATGGGCACCGTGTCTAGTTGCTCCAAGCCTCCCATTGTGCCCTGTTGCCCGCCGACATGCCACCCTTGGCCCGTCTGTTGGTTCACAAAGGCACTCTGGCGGAAAGGATTCGTGCTCCCCGTCGGGTTTGGTCGTAGAGGAGCCGCAGCAGGAGGTTGCAGGCCCTGGGACTGCGGTGGGGGAACAGAGGAAGCACGGGCAAACGGGTTAGTTCCCGTCCGCTGGGCTTGAAGTGGCGCTGGCTGTTGGGGCGCTTGCGGCTGCACCTGCGGGTAGGCTTGAGGAACACCGGTATCAAGCTGCGGGTTGACTGTTGATAAACGTCGTGCGAAGGGGTTCGTATTCTGACGGTTAAGGGGAGTGGCAGGCGTGGCCGATCCGGTCGGCGTGCTCATTAACATCGATTGTCTGAAGGGGTTGGTTGACTGTGGCTGCAACTGCTGCTGGGCCATTGGCATTTGTTGCTGCTGGGAGAATGCACTCATGTCATGTTGTGGGATGGGAGCGAGGTTTGACTGGAAACCGTATGTTTGGGGCTGCGCCGAATAACCACCAAATCCGGCCCCCGTGTGGTTGGGTTGAAGAGGTTGGGGTGCCTGCTGCTGCTGCTGCGGCTGGCCAAATTGCTGAATATTCTGCGGCGCAAACTGGTTTCCAAACGCCGCTTGTTGGTCAAACCCAGTAGGTTGGGGCTGCTGGAAGCCCGTCGGTTGCGCGTAGAAGGCCTGTTGCTGCGGTGGGAACCCGGTTTGTTGGAACTGCATCGCCTGCGGTTGCTGCTGTAATTGGGCTTGCTGGAACGGATTGGTCTGGGCCATCGGCTGTTGGTTCTGCTCGATTGAATCAAAAAAGTCGATAAGGTCCGATTGGTTTGACTTCTGTGTCTGTGGATTCGGCTGGGTTTGAGGCCGTGCCGGCATATTGTTCGCGTTGCTCACGGCCCTATCGCCTGTCGCAGTTTTACTCACAGGCGGAGGAGTTCCGCCGCTCTTCCCTTGCTTCCGTGCCAAATATTCTCGCCGGCGAAGGTTGAAATCCGGGTCATTGAGATCGTCCTCCAGAAGTCGCGTAAGATCCGTAGAAGCATGTTTGAGCTTAGGGATCTCCAATCGCGTCGCAGACTGGAAATGCCTGGCAACTCCCAGAAACTTCACGACTTCTTCCGTTTGGACCGTAAATGTCTTGTATATTTCCAACGCACGTTCGCTGTCGGGTCGCGACATTTCAAAGTAATGCTCTGTGCGCAGTTCAGTCAGAGCATGCCGCGGGTTTGCTAAGCAGAGCACCTACCAAGAACGTTTATTGTTCCTTCGTTCATCACGGAATATAGGGTCAAGAGATCCAAAACCAGCAAGCGAAATGCGGTCAACGATATTTCGTTCTCGACGTCGTCAGTGAGAAGCTGAAAATGTCAGTTGAAGATGTCATGATGCAAGGGAAGGAGATGACATACGTCACATTTGAGCAGCGCATGGATCTGATGTTGAACTAATTCTGTCTCCCTCAGAAGTCCCTTCTCTACTGTCAATCTCTTCATCCGACCTTGTCCGCTTCGCACATAGTCGGTCTTTGTATCCTCGAAGGCACGCGCACGCGCGATGAGATAATCGGAGTATCTTCGAATATTATGGCCCTGCGACTGTACTGTGACATCAACGTGTCAGCACTCTCCCGCGCAGGTTCTGACATCACCTCTCACCTTCTGAGAATCCACTGATGGCAAGTCTTCTGGGGTTCTCCGCCATATACTGCAATGTAGCATCCAACTGTCCTTCCCTTATCATCAAGTGGACAACAATAAGAGCTTTGAAAACAATGGTCCATGTTGAGTCGCGAAGTCGGAGCTGCAGCGTCCGAAATATCTCTGCAACACCTGCCTCTCCTGTATGAGTCGCAACAAGTATATGTTCAATGTATTTGGATTTGGGGGCCGCAAGCTGTTGACGAGGACCAGATTGTCAGCACTTGCGCAAGATCACGCATCCCCTGAAAAGACACGGAACCTCCTACCAACCTTTATCTTGGTGGCTCCCTTCACCGACTTCTCAAAGTTGTGAGACATGTTCAAAGATGGCTGTCCTCCGACACAGCAATTGGTCGGAAACAGAAATCAGGGGACTCTGGCAGGCAGCTGGATTCGAGGTGGAGGGGGGGGGGGTTTTCGGGGTGGAACGATAACCAGATCGATCGAAGATGAGAAGGTACCAAAACTATAGTCGTGTTCTGAATGCTTTGCCCACGCCAATTCCAAAAATAATCATGATGCGTCAAGTTGCCATGTCGCGGAACTGGTGATTCTTACGCAAGCTGTCAATAGTGAAGTGGGACGGGGGTGAAGTGCCGACTCCTAGGGAGGGGGATCGGGACTTTCGGTATGACAGGGATGATCTGCCTGATAATCCCCCAGAGGAAGGGTGGTGGGGGGGTTCGAGGATTGAAGCGGTCAAGGGAACAGGAGGGGAAGATTTATGAGAACAAGTCGGGGGGGGAGAGAGAGAGAGCTTCAGGCAGTTCGGGATGTTGGACTTCAAAGCGGCATCGCAGTGGAGCGCCCGGTTGCACCCAACTAGGCTAGAAACCGCCTAGTGCTGTTTGGGTCGGCGCGATGATGTTATCCGACGAACTATATGTACCACGCTGTTGAGGATGATCTCTACCACTGTGGTACAAAAGAAAGATGAGGGTAGAGTAAATCGTCACTTAGTTATAGTATTTTAATATTTGATTGTCTCACTTCTAAGTTGACAGAAACCATAAGTTGAGCCTTTCATCAAGTGCAATTCTACGGGGTCTGCGATCTGTCCTCACGTGATAAATAATATATATATTTCTGGAATGCCTTCGCTACTACCAGTAACCTCACTATCACTCTCCAAAAGAAATCATACTAATGTCAAGTTCAAATTTTGTAAACGATACTTTCAACATGACCTGGACTTATTTAACCGAGTGAAATTCTTATAAATATAGGTTTCAATGGCCGCACCCAAATCGAAATCCATACTAGCTAGCCCACTCATGCTGTTTGAAAAGTAGGCAAACGTCTTTTTCTTAACCTGTTTCAATGTCCCAGAGAAGAATTTGTACTATACAGACTTGTAGCCATGATCGAAATTTATGATCAAGCTATTATGGCTTCCTCGCTTATTCCTCATCCACAAATTCTTGCTGAAAACAAGCTTCCAATATCGCTCGCTCACTACTCTTGTGTGGCCCACCATTCTCTTACCGAAGCCTAATCGCGAGACTATTTCATACTATCTTGTCTCACTACTCTTTCATGAATCACTCGATTGTCGTGATGGATTCCGAAATTGGTCTTGACTATAGAACTCCACGGCTCCAAAATAAATGGACACGGGAACAGAGACTGTTCCTCTGCTGTCTCTATGAGTTCTTTCAGAGAAACACGAGCGCCTTCAGAGACATATTCAATCGAGTGTTTGAATCGGAGGTGACAGAATGCGGGTTTACTGAGGGCATCCCATCAAGTACTCTACGTACGCAGTGGGGTGAAATGGTGAGATATTCGTACCCGGAGTGGAAAGAAGTTCAGCAGCATACATCCGAGGGACATTGGCGCTGGATCCCAACCTTGAGACGGATTAGAAGGACTGCGAGGTTATTAGGTCTCCATATAGTCCCGAATTATGTCGACGACAATGAGGAAACTTGCAGCCATCAGCAGAGCCTGACACCACAAGTCGAGATGCCAGAGATAACTCCTCAAGACACGTCTATGACACAGCGCCCTGAGAGAAGAGATGTTGGTATTACTGAAGTGCAGGAACAAGCCCCAGTACCAGAGATCGTGGATGTAACTCAGATCGATATTAGCCTATGCAGTGGCGGCGACAAAGTATGCTTTTGGTGTGTACAAGAGCAGATTTTGAATGTGAGACCCAAGTGACACCTGAGTAACATATAAACTAATACCACATTCAGCAGAAAGCACGTAAAGAACCGAATACTGTGGGATCTCGTTCACGTTGGACTGATGAAGTGCCTCCTGTCATATACAGATGGTCTAATATCGACAGTCAAGGCGTCAATTCAAAAATGCTATTCCTGGCCGGACTTTTTGCAGATGGACGCCAATTCTTCACACCTGGGGATATATCTCAAGAAGAATTTATCAACTACTTCTCTAGACATGTTCACATCGACAAAACGCCATCACCGTTCATATCTACGTTTCGCTCAATGTTATCGCCTGTTCACAGAGCACTCTGGAACAAAGAAGGCGCTATTATATCCATCATTGACACACATAAGCTTGATACCGACGTATATCCCGCGATCAAGCTATTCAGGGAACAAAATCTGCGTATCCGAGGCTACGACGGTAGAGGCGAGTTCTTGGTATGGGGAAAGATACCACCCGCTGCTATAATATGTGCTGTAAAAATAAGCACGATACAACAGCTCGCAGATGAGCATGCTGAGATTGGGCATTTTCTACAGCTTGATAAACTTGCATCTCATAAATACAACAGAAAGCAGTTGCATGGCGAGCTAGCTAGAGATGCCGGCAAACTTGACCACACGTCGGGATATGCAATAGGAAAATTTCTTAACTCTATTAATCTCCCATTCGAGTTCAGCAGGGAGGTGAGCGGGGGCTTATTCCACTCCTGGAGACTGAAGAGGCAAGGAACTTGGGAGTCCTTTCATGAGGGAGTATGTGCTGGCTACAATCGCTCTATACCATCTACCAGTGTCAGCGAAGTCGGACGTCCAGAATCCATTGTTCATGATATATCGGATGACGACTCAGTCACCGAGTGTGGATCTATTGCAGAAGACGAGAAAATGAGTGATAGCGAATCTGAAGATATCGGTGCTAGCTCACCCTGCATGGGGCGCGAGTTAGCCACACATACCTCAGAACGAAAACCCCTTTCCACTCCTGACTGGTTCTTCATGAGAAATACAGATGATGAACTGATAACATACGAAGATGGAGAAGAAGGAGCCACTGGACGGCAAATCAACCTATTTTCCGAACAAAATCCTGACCGATCGGCTGAGCTGATTACCGATTGGCCTGAAGAAGACACTCAAGTACTGTCATCCTTGAACTTGAACATATCTCAGACTCGCATCCCTACCATCGAGATGTTCGACCCCAAAACTGGCGGATGGGTCCAAGAACAAGCGAGACTCGCGCAGAAAATGGAAGAGGACGACTGTCAATCTTATATGCAGCCACCATCCAGCAATGATACTCAGGAAATGAGGAGTATATCCGTGGAAGGCGAAAGCGACATTATGCATGATATCGAGACTAGATATTCAATTCTGAGCATGTCCCGTGAATTGTCAGAGGATGTTCTGCCCCACATTCGGTTTGCGAGAGATCGAGAACGTCGAAGACGCTGGCTTCTTCAGTAGTCTCGTTCCTCTTTCTGCCCCAGATTTGCAATACCCTGTATTGCGGACTCGCCGTCGATGTTATTATTGGTTCAGGACTCACGATTATTAAAAGGAAAATTGTAAGATAAGGGTCGACAGGTCTGGTTGAAGGAATGGTGTACGTTAGTACCAAGGGGAGAGATGTACTCCGTAGTGTTTGATTAATGAATTGGAGATAACTGAAAGGCCACTAAAATGTAGCTAGTACTTGCTTTATATCAGCTAATTAGAATGGGTCAGTGCACCTACGAATACTACCGTTGACTATTGGCGCTAAGTGCCCGCAGTGAAAGCGATAAGGAACATCTACAAAAAGACCCAAACTGGAAGCGGCAGTGACTCGATTAGAAAGGCTAGATTTCACACTAGCATACTGAACTCTCCCTCAGTGCTCTGAGATCTCGTACAGATATAAAAAGTCTATGTGGGAGAATCAAAGTAATTTTTTCATTGGATATTCCTTCCACAAGGGTACCTGGGACATGAAATCGTGAAACAATCCCAACCCGAGAAACTATTCCGTTTATATCCAGTCACGCCGCTGCCCTAGGTTCGTCCTCGCGAAAACACACCCTTCCTCATCGAGACGCTTAGAACTTGGAGAAAGCCTTGACGGCCTTACCGGTACGGGGAAGGACACGGAGGACGTTGAAGCGGACCTGATTAGCATGTTAGCGCATCCGTTGCAGATGGTTGTGCGAGTCATGTGGAATATCTTCAGTAGCACTAGGCGTTATCCGCATTCTTTCCAGGCGTATAGGAAAGAAACGCATTTGCCACCAGCAACTGCAGAAGATATTCCGAGGAAGTTTTGACATACAGTCTTGGAGAGGGGACGGCACTGGCCGACGGTGACCCAGTCACCTTCCTCAACACGGAAAGCGGGAGAGACGTGAGCGGCAAGGTTCTTGTGTCTCTTCTCGTAACGGTTGTACTTGGGGACGTAGTGGAGGTATTCACGGCGGATGACGATGGTACGGTGCATCTTGGTGGAGACGACACGGCCGGTCAGGATACGGCCACGGATGGAAACCAGACCGGTGAAGGGGCACTTCTTGTCTGTTCGATATCAGTTATTTTGTCCCACCTGGGATTTGAACAACATGACTGGACTTCTCCGGAGCCTTTGAGAGATGAGAATAACCGGGTTCCGCAAATCAGTCGCCAAGCGCTCTTTCCAGGTGTGATCTCTGATTCCTTCTCTTGTCGCATTTCATCCCGATCCTTTGCATGGTGAAGTTGCATTTATCGTAGACTCATGCTGGCGCTCCCCAGGTGATTTTTCCCTTTTTCCATGCGGCATATTCTCATCTCCCCATAGCCTCCGAAAGATTCCCAGTCCCGGTCCCGCATGATCGGAAGTCGATAACGCCGCAAAATAAAATTTCAACATAGGTCGTGCATACCGATGTAGGAGCCCTCAATGGCGGTCTTGGGGGTACGGAAACCAAGACCGACATCCTTGTACCAACGGCGGCCGGTGCCAACCTTCTTGCTCTTCGCCTGAGCCTTGGGGTTGACGAAGATGTGAGGCTGCTTCTGGAACGCACGTTCCGACTGGACGGTCAACTCGGTCGCCATTGTTGCGAGAATTCAGTCCGACGAGGAAGCGAAGTCGAGCTGGGTGGTATAATTCGTCGCGGAGGGTGGGTGTCGGGGCCTGCGGTGGTCGACGTCGATGTTGGAGAAGATTTATTCGACGATGGCGGATATTCGGCCTGTGAGTGTGCGATGGGGGCGCTAGTCTGTTTTGGGACTCGGCTAGGGCTATCCGTTTTGGTTTGTTTACATCCCCCGGTCACATGAGCGCCGACCGGGTGACGCGCGGGAAGCTCGAGGCCCAATCCATCTAAGTGTTTATGGTGAAACTTTAGGGGAGTAAACTCGTTGGTTGTTGTCATTCCCCGGACTGATCCCCCTAACTAGTCAGTTGGATATCGCGGGTGACGCTTTTAATCTACCTCATTAATCACTTCTTCATCTTTCATGTCCCCCTCAATATAGACTCCCATGGCGTCCCGAAGTGACTCCGCGGGGTCTTCCCGCCCGCGATCTCGTCGCTCTATCGCCCATGTCCCTCGATCGCAGTTGACCTCTACCTTGGACAAGGAGAATGCCACCACAAATATCAGCTCTTCTCAACCTATTGGTGAGCGTCCAAAGCTCTCGGCAAAGGATAAGAAGTCGCGCAGTAAGAGTCTGGGACCTGGTGGTCTAGATGCGCTCCAAGATTCAAATGGCAATCGACGCAAGGTAGCTCCGCACTCTGCCCCCCGATGCCCTTATCTGTCACTTATACTAATATAAATCCTGTCGCGTTCAAGTCTACTGCAGCCTTTCCCCTCAAGTCTATCCTGAAACCTACAGTTCCCGTTTCCCCGGTTCGCAACATTCCTACGTTTGAGGAGACACGCAGACGGACTCCCGCTCGAGGTCCACCTCACAATGACGGCACAGGTGAAGCCCCGGACCAGGGCAAAGAGGGCATGTTAATAGACTTCGATACTCCGGCACAACCGTCAGGCTCTGCGGGTGACGACCCGTCCAATCCTTTCGATAGCTTCACCGCCGCTTCAATCCGGGATGAAATGGCCGCGGTGAGAGAACGGGAAGAGAAGGAACAGCGGGAGCGCGAGCGCAAGACGATCCTTGAGCGAAGAGAGGCGCGCCGGAAATCTATGGGTTCGTCATACAGCTTTCCTATTCTAACATTAAGCTGACAGACCGCGACAGCAAATCGCCGTGTTTCATTTGCCCCAGAAGCAACATTGCACACGTGGAATGTTGTGGAGATACCTGATGACTCGACCTCTTCGTCTACTTCCAACTCAACCAGGCGTGCATCGTCCCTGGCAAATCAGACCCCCGCGCAAAAGAATCCCCCGGAAGATCCTCCTTCTCCAGACCTGGACGCAGAATCAGATATCGGCTTTTCCCCCGTTCAGTACCCAGATCTACAGCAGCTCCAGAACCGCTCAACGTCGTCGCAGGAGATGTCCTCAAGCCCATTCAGCGGGAGCTCGGCGGACGGCAGTGAATATACCGGATTACAAGGTTCGCAGGAAGACATCGACGATGATGACAATTCGTCAGTTTCCGGCTCTGACGGGGAAAGTACCGCGATGAGTATGGACGATATGACCGCTCGTTCTGCAGTCACGACTCGGTCAGATGGGTCTGAGGCTAGCACCAGCTCCAGTGCTCGGCTAAATGAGGCTCTACGGCAAGCGGCCCGAGAAGCAGGCACTCGTGGCATTGAGGACGATGATGACGGTGACATGTCGATGGAGATTGCCGATCAGGAGATCACAGGCGCCTTCCAACCTTGGATCAAGAAAGGTGAACGCCAAAGTTTTGATTGGGAAGACATTAGCGCTCGGCATGACCAGGAGAATGTGCAGCCCTCAGGGTTCGTGGCCGACCAACCGGCTGAGGTAGATGCGGCAAGCGACAATGAGGATGAGGACCTCAGTATGGAAGTGACGAATGCCATTGGACGTATTCTTCCAGGCCAGCAGAGCCGTCGTCAGAGCATGAGAAGTCGCATGTCACTTGGCGCAGAGACCGTGTACGATGAACAAACAATGGAATTGACCAATGTCGTTGGAGGCATCGCGCAACCTATCTCGCCAGCCAAGTCAACAGGAGCCTACAGTAACGCAGACGAAGATGAGGAGATGACCATGGAATTCACATCGGTCGTTGGTGGCGTTCTGAACAAACCATTTACAGCTAATGTCGCCAATGAGAACGACGATGGCCCAGCAGAATCCTTCACGCCAAGTTCCAAGGCACCGGATTTCTCTGCCTGGGAGAACGAAGATGACAACATGGATGAAGGAATGGACATGGAAATGACCGGGGCCATTGGTGGCATACTTCCCGCAGCTCAGGAGCAAACCGAACCACAAGATGAGGATCAAACCCAGGGCATGGATTTCACGACTGCTGTGGGTAAGATAATCTCACCTCAAGCAGGGCCACAGGAGACCGTTGAAGAACCAATGGAAGTAGAGCCAAATGCCGAACCGACTGCTGCTCGCCTCGGTAGCTCACCCTTCCAGGGTTCCGCTCGTCAGTCCCCAGCTAAATCACCCGCCTCGTTCCATGTCGCTGCCGTTGCTTCAGAGAACGGAAGCCCTAGCCTGGCGAGTGTGAGATCCAGGCGGACCCGACAAAGCCTAAGCCATGCTGCTTTGAGCACCCCAACCTCTCAGACATCACAGCCATCCCCGAAGGAACCGGCGCTGCAGGCCAGCGGACTCTCACCTGCTGAAACTCCGTCTAAATCCACTGATGATCAGAGTACATCGCCCGAGAAGCCACCGCAGGCGAACCCTACGGGACCTGCAAGCGGGAAGAAATCTCCAAGGCGTAAAAGTCTTTTCGAGAAGTCTGCATCTGGAGAGTCAGCTCCTCTGTTTGTCCTGCAACCTCATGGAAAAAGACGATCTTCAGGTCTCGGGATCGATAAAGAAGGCCTTGGGTCGCCCAAGGTGGCCGCTATGCTTGACAAGCGTCGATCGATTGGTGAAGAGGCACCGCAGTTCATCCCCCAGGAACCGTCTAAGCAGGGAGTGCGCTTTGAAGATCCCGTGAAGCTTCAGGAGGAGGTTGAGAGGGAGCGCGAAGAGGAAGAGAACCGAGAAGATGGGCATATTCCGCCCCCACCGCTCAATGATCGGGACCCCACAGCTAATTTGAAAGACATGATCTCAAGTCTTACCCCGAAGAAGAATAAGCTGCGTGGGAGAAAGAGCTTGCATGTTGGCGCCGCTCGTGGCGTCCTCGGCAAACGGCCAGCCGAGCTGGATATGGATGATGAAGATGTTGATAGCACACCTAAGCGTTTGAGGGGGCGTGAAAACGTGAGTCCGGTGAAGAACATCAGGCTTCCTGCACCTCCGTCCAAGGATGAAACGGTTGGGCGTGCAGCCCGTCCGCCTCTCAAACTCTTCAGTGGCTCTCCATTGAAGATGAGCACCACTCCTCTCCAGGAGCCGAAAGGCAGCTCCCTGGCGACCAGTCCGGAGAAACCCGGTCGAGTGTCCTCAAAGTCACCGTCTAGTGCCGAACCAACGGAAGAACAGGACGCTGTTGCTGAAGAGCCTGGTCCGCAATTTGAACCGATACAGTTGCAGGACTTCCTGAACATGACAAACATCCACTTCATGGAGCTCACGACGACAAAACGGCGGCATACCACTGCCCCTGACAGTGCTACCAAACGAGCAATGCGACTTTCAACTGAGAGCGAGACTAAATCAAGTGCTTCTGACTTTGAAGCCTGCGTGGCAGCTGGTTTCTGCACTGTCCCCATGCTTGAGCTCTATCAACACGTAAGCCTCCGCACATCTATCTATATTGCTTTTGTCATCTTACTAACAATACTACAGTCTTGTCGCGAACTGAAGTCCTATATCTCCGAAGGAAGACAGATCATTCGCTCGATCGAAACCGAGACCTATGCCGAAAACCCGCCGCTGTTCCGTGAATACATGACAGCGCCACCCGACATTCGTCTCTTGATGGACAACCAGTTCCGCAACGTCAAGACGCACGCCAGACTCCAAAGCAAAGCCACCTGGTACGAGTGGCGCATGAAGCTCCTCGAAGGCCTGAAAGACGGACTTGACCGGCACGCGCAGGAAATGAAGGCCGACAGTGACATCCTATCCAAGCATGAAGCCCTCCTTACCGAAGTCGTACCGAGTCTCGAAGAAAAGCACTCCGCCCTCGAGAAAGAAGCTACAACGCTCCAGCAACTCGCAGACGAGATGGAGAACTGCGACCAGGACGAACTCCGCAGTACAAGAGAGAAGCTCTCTAGCGTGGAAGCCGAAATCGAAGAGAAGAAGCGCCGACTACAGGAGATGCAAGACGAACTCAAAACCAAAACCGACACGATCGAGTCCGGCACAGCACTCAAAGCAGAATACACCGCTCAGATCGAGGAAGCAGAACGAATCAAAGAAGAATGCCGCGGCTGGAGCGCCAAAGAGATTAGCGAGCTGAAAGAATCCGTCCGCAACCTGGAGCGCCAAACCGGCTGGAGCATCATCTCCGCGACCTCCCATCCAGAAGGATCCTCCGCCGGCCCAGCCATAACCATGTCCTACCGCAACCAACTCCAACTCACCTTCCACCCTGCCTCCTTCCACACCAACACCGACAACAACACAAACCCACCCACACCAATCGACCTAAAATACGCCCCTACATCCGATACCAAGCGCTCTACCACAACACCCACCGCCCAACTCTCCCCCATCTCCCTCCTAGTCCTCAAATCCCTCCAATCCCACATCACCACCACCACTCCCCAACAAAAATCCACCCCCAAACACCTCCTCCACTTCATCTCCCAAGCCTGGGACCTCACCCTCAAACTCGAAGAAGAAGCCCGCATGCTCGAATTCTGCGGCGTCACCAAACTCAAGCTCCTCGAAGCGAACGACTCCTCTCCCTCCCTCCGCGCAAGATGCACACTCCTCTCCACGGGTACCACACCCGACGGCAAACGCCGACGCATTGACGTCGACTTTGCCGTTACAACCCGCATCCTGCACAAAACTACCCATGGCGATGAGGGCCAGGAGAGTGGTAGTGACAAGAGTGATATCGGTACCTTGGATATCAAGACCGATGTGATCGCTAGCAAAGTCTATGGATTCG